AGTCTATAGGAGGTGGGGTATAAAACACATTTTGACAGGAAATAGCAATCAGGAGACAGGTATGTGAGGTAGAGGTTACACTGGGAGGCCATAAGCTTTACTAAAGAGATGGGTTTTAGTGCACGTCTTAAATGATTGAAGACTAGGGGAGAGTCTGATGGTGGTAGGCAGGCTATTCCATAGGAAAGGAGCTTCCCGTGGTGTGAGCAGCAGACAGGAGAAGGTCATGGGCAGTGCGAAGAGATATAAGAGGGGCTAGAATTGTTCAGTGCTTTATTGGTATGGGTTAGTACTTTGAATTGACTCATATAGGATACAGGAAGCCAATGTAAGGACTGACAGAGAGGTGAGGGGTGAGAGGACTGTAACGGACCGTTTTGCACACAAGAGGTAAAAACCGTTTAGGTGATCGTCCCCCTTTCCACACGAACTGGAACCATGCGAATCACTGCTAGCAGACGAATAGGAAAAGCATCCAAGCGGCTTACACTCCTAGCAATCAGTCTCTATCAGCATTCGGTAAATCCCCCCAAAGACGAGACAAGGCTCCGTGTTGACGGTCAAACAGTGGTCTGTTTAATGAGGTCTACCTGCCCAGTATTTATGCAGGTCTCCCACCTGGTGGACACTCCCCTAGAGGACCAAATGGGAGACTGTGACAAAAGACAGACAAGTAGACAAATAGGACACACAGTCACATTATATTCCCACAATGCATTCTGGCTTCCTCCCCTCTGCCTTGGAGATAATTGAGAAGTAATTCAATTATCTCCCAAGACAAAGGCAAATCGCCATTATGCACGTGGGGATACTAAAACATGAATTACTATTAAAATACACAGTATGACACCAGTTACAATAAAACTATACATTTAACATGTCCCCAGATACCTCAGGTCTGAGCGCACATTATTAAGTGAATGGCGCTCAGACCACACGAATACAGTTTAATTGCCATGGAGCCAAAGTCTTTACACAGTCAGTTCTCATGCGAATGGGCTCCATGGGATTCCTATCTGGGGTATAACATAGTCAAGTAAAACTACCGAACACCGGGCCGTTCGTGCACTTTCACCGAACCAGAAGGGAGGTTGGCGGCTTCAGCGGTGTTCGCGCAAAACTGAGTCCGATTTTAGTTCCATGAATTGAGCGTTGAACACCGCTGTGCGTTCGCGGGTTTAAAATGGCCGCAACCTCGTGTTCGTGATACGAATGGCGGCCACCCAGTATTCGTCAATTAAGCTGCGGTTAACCGCAGCTTCTGGGAGGCTAATTGCCGGCACACTCCAGCTCCCAGGTGGTCTAGTCATTCGTGCGGTTGTTCAGTAGGTTGAATCTACCGAACACCAGTCAGAAATGCATGAATAAGTCTTTTCTGCAGTAAAAAATATGTCTTTTAACATGGGGCCATAGTCCAAAGGCAGCAGGCGAGCAACCAGGCTTCTCCAATGCAATGTGGCGAGATTGCTCTCGTCACAAGGACCGACTAGAGAGGAAAATCAGTCTGGCGGCAGCATTCATTACAGACTGTAGTGGGGCAATACAGCTTTTGGGAAGACCAATTAGGAGAGGGTAACAATAATGCATGCAGGAAAATACTAGAGCATGGACAAGCTCCTTGGTAGCATCTTGCGTTAGAAAGGGGCGGATGTGGGCTATGTTTTTAAGATGGAACTTAAAGGATACTGGATGTGAGGATCAAAGGTGAGGCCAGAATCAAGTATGATGCCAAGACAGCGTGCTTGCAAGGATGGACATATGTGGATACCACTAACTTGACGGGAGAGCAAAACAGGAGGATCAGTATTAGGAGGAGGAAAAATAAAGAGCTCAGTTTTAGAGAGATTGAGTTTCAGAAAGTGGGAGGACATCCAGTCAGAGATAGAAGAAAGGCAAGCAGTGATACGTTGCAGGACGGCAGGGGAGCAGTCCAGGGGGGAGAGATAAATCTGGGTGTCATCAGCATACAGGTGGTATTGGAATCCAAATGAGGTAATAAGTTTGCCAAGAGAGGCAGTGTAAAGAGAAAATAGAAGGGGACCAAGTACAGAGCCTTCGGGGACTCCAACAAAGACAGGACAAAGGGAGGAGGTATCATTAGAAAAGGAGACACTGAATGAGCATTGGGAGAGATGGGGGAAAAAACCAAGAGAGAACAGTGTCACAGAGACTGAGTAATTGAAGAGTTTGGAGAAGGAGAGCATGGTCAACAGTATCAAAGGCAGCAGAGAGATCAAGAAGAATTAGTATGGAGTAGTGTCTTTTGGATTTAGCTGTGATTAGGTCATTAGTGACTTTAATAAGAGCAGTCTCAGTAGAGTGAAGGGGGCGGAAGCCAGACTGAAAAGGGTCAAGGAGAGAGATGGAGTTGAGAAAACAAGTCAGACGGGTAAAGACAAGTCTTTCCAGAAGCTTTGAGGAAAAAGGGAGCAGGGATATGGGATCATAATTAGAAAGGGAGGACGGGTCAAGAGATGATTTTTTTAAGATGTGTACGACAGGGCAGCAGGGACATTACCAGAAGAGAGAGCAGTTGAAGAGATCTGATAAGATGAGGTGAGACAGGATCAATCAGGCAAGTGGTGGAGCGAGAGGAAAGGAGAAGCGCAGCCACCTCTTGTTCAGTAGCCTGGGAAAAAGTCTAAATGGTAGGAAAGGCATGATCCAGATGTGGTTGAGAAAGCGAGGGGCAAGGTGGTGAGAATTCTCCCCTTAGCTGTTCAATCTTGTTGGTGAAGTAGCATGCAAAGCAATCATAGAAACATAGAAACATAGAATGTGACGGCAGATAAGAACCATTCGGCCCATCTAGTCTGCCCAATCGGCTGTAAGGTTAGTTTGCTCGTTTTTTAAAGGTATTAAAAAGATGCCTGGGGACAGGGCCGGACTGGCCCACCGGGATACCGGGAAAATTTCCCGGTGGGCCGTCGGCACCTGGGGCCGGGCAGACACCTGGGTCTGCTGGCGGCAGCTGGGGGAGGTCTTCTGGCGGCCGCTGGGGGAGGTCTTCTGGCGGTAGCTGGGGGAGCTGCGCTGTCTCTGCTCCCCAGCGCGCAGCTTAATGAGACCGGTGCCGGAATATGACGTCATATTCCGGCCCCAGTCTCATTCAGCAGCGCGCGAGGGCGGGAGAGCAGAGCCAGCGCAGCTCCCCCAGCGGTCGCCAGTACAAGTCCCCCAGCGGCCGCCAGAAGACCTCCCCTTGGCAGGTATTAGAAATGTGTGTCAGTGTGAGTTTGTCTGTCTGTTATGGTGTGTGTCTGTCTGTCTGTGTCATGGTGTCTGTCTGTATAGTGTGTGTGTGTCTGTCTGGTGTGTGTGTGTGTATCTGTCTGTCTGTTATGGTGTGTGTCTGTCTGTCTGTGTCATGGTGTCTGTCTGTATGGTGTGTGTGTGTGTCTGTCTGTCTGTATGGTTTGTGTGTGTGTGTCTGTCTGTCTGTCTGTGTCATGGTGTCTGTCTGTACGGTGTGTGTGTGTGTCTGTCTGTCATGGTGTGTGTGTGTCTGCCTGTGTCGTGGTGTGTGTGTGTCTGTCTGTCCGTCATGGTGTGTGTGTCTGTGTCATGGTGTGTGTGTCTGTCTGTCATGGGGTGTGTGTCTATCTGTCATGGTGTGTGTGTCTGTCTGTCATGGTGTGTGTGTCTGTCCATCATGGGGTGTGTGTGTGTGCCTGTCTGTCAAGGGGTGTGTGTCTGTCTGTCATGGGGTGTGTGTCTGTCTGTCATGGGGTGTGTGTCTGTCTGTCACGGGGTGTGTGCCTGTCTATGTCATGGTGTGTTTGTCTGTCTGTGTCATGGTGTGTGTGTGTGTGGGTCTGTCTGTGTCATGGTCTGTCTGTGTCATGGTCTGTCATGGTGTGTGTGTCTGTCATGGGGTGTGTATCTGTCATGGTATATGTGTGTTTCTGTGTCTGTTATGGTGTATATGTGTGTTTAAAAATAGTGTTTTTGCTCACCTTTTTTTTCCCCACACAGCGTGCTGGTCTCCCCTCGACTGGCCCTGCCTCTATAGCTGAGATCATCAAGCTTGATGATCTCAGCCAATCCAATGCTTTGCCATAGGATTGGCTGCAAAACGCCACTCCAATCAGCATCTCCTCATGTATCAATGTATCTCTATGGGGAACGTTCAGCACCTACAGAGTGTGGAGGCCCTGAATGTAGGTGCACTGACACAGGAAGCACCTCTAGTGACCGTCTGAGTGACTGTCACTAGCAGTGTCACTTTGAAGCAATGTAAACACTGCCTTTTCTCTACGTTGAAAAGCCTGTAGGGACATGCTATAGACACCAGTACCACTACATTAAGCTGTGTGTGTGCGTCTGATAGTAAGTGAGCTTGCTTGCATGCGTGTGCCTGCTAGTGAGTGAGCTTGTGTTTTTATGTCAATGAGCTGATGTATATCAGTGAGATTGTTTGTCCATGAGGCTGTGTATCAATGAGCTTGTGTGTGTCATTGAGATGTCAGTGAAATTGCCTGTGTCTGCATGTGAGTATGCTTACTGTATAATTAAACGTTTTACCCTGAAAGGACCAATATTTTATATTAGAAAAAGCAATATATATATATATATATATATATATATATATATATATATATTACTCAATCATCTGTCATGGCAAGACATAGCCTTACATATTACACGACAATATATGGCGCAGTGACTTATGGGGCTGGCACAAATTTTTTTTCCAGGGCTGCATTGTATCCCCAGTCCGACCTTGCCTGGGGATGGGGATAAGATATGGAGTGGGGTTGAGGATGGCTTGTTCATGTGTTTCAGAAGTTCCATACCCTCTTCTGGAGAGGTAATAATGTAGTTTTGGCCATCCAACCGAAACAGCACTTTGATGGGGAAACCCCATCTATACTGAATATATTTCTGCAACGTAGCTCAGAAGTGAAGGGCTGGAACTCTCTGTGTTTTTTTCATTGTAAACGCTGAGAAGTCAGGAAAGATCTTAATTTTGTTATATTCCTCAGGTAATCCCAACGTACGTGTAGCTCCCAGGAATTCTTCCTTAACGTGATAGTAATGGAATTGAACTATAACGTCCTTGAGAGTCGCTGCAGGTGCACTGTTGGGTTTGGGTAATCTATGGATACAGTCCAAACTCAGATCAAAATTTGTATCATTAGGCTTGACCGCCTTCACCACAGATTGAAAATAGATGGATAATTCCACATTATCAATAGTTTCAGAGAATCCCCTGATACATAAGTTGTTGCCTCTGCTCCTGTCCTTTGTGTCCGCAGATTTTTCCGCCTGTTGGTTAAGTTGTTTTTGCAGGCTGTTCACCTTCTCTTCGAAGTCCAAGTGTAACTGTTCCTGGTAGTGAAGTCTATTTTCGATGTCTTCTGTTCAAGAATTAATGTCTTCCATAAATCCATATATTGCATCAAAATCTTCTTTTGAAATAATTTCTGATTTCCACTCTTAAATTTTAAATAAGATCAATCAGCATTTCAGCAGAGGCTGGTAAACCTGTAGCCATCTCAGGAGGCATGTTTGGATTGTAGGCAGCTGTCCTGCCTGAAATGCCTACCTCTGTTTCTGCAGTACCCATCTTACTTGTGGCAGAAGCTTTCTTTGATGTGACAGCAGCCATCTTGGTGGTGGCAATAGGTAGTGTAATATTGGCAGTCATCTTTGTTGTGGCTGCTGTATCCTGTACATTACATATGTATGGGTCTTGAATTACATTAATATTGTCCCCCTCCATACATTATTCCAAGTCTGGACTCTCTATACCCTCTTCAGCACCGGTTATATAATCTTGTGCCTCTTTAAATTTTTCAGAGGTTACATAGTTACATAGCTGAAAAGAGACTTGCATCCATCAAGTTCAGCCTTCCTCACATTTGTTTTTTGCTGTTGATTCAAAAGAAGGCAACCCATCCCCCCCGCCCCCAGTTTGAAGCACTTCCAATTTTGCAACAAACTAGGAATAAAATTCCTTCTTGACACCAGAATGCAGTCGGATTTATCCTTGGATCAAGCAGCTATTACCCTACTGAAAAATAATATCCTTGAATATTCCGTTTTTGCAAGTATGCATCTAGTTACTGTTTGACCATATGAACTCTGATAAAACCACAGGTGAGGGCAGAGGCCCCTCCCGGGCGGACCGAGAGCCTTAAGGCCGAGGGCCCCAACAGGGATCGGGACCTCACATGACCATTCCCACTATCAGCAGCCTGATCACTTTGATAAGTGAGCAATCGGGCCACTCTATCATGTGTCCGCTGTTCTAGGCACACTGGGCCACTTGCGGGAGACCCCAAAAGCCACCCCGAGCGTGATGAGCGCTCAGAGTGACTGAACTCCCCCCTCCATTGCGGTTGTTGTGGATGTGACTCCACCACCAGGGTAGTGCGAGAACGGGTAGAAGGGTGGGAGGGAGCCACTGCCACTGATGTTTCAGGGAATGAAACCAGTGGTGAAATAAGCCATGGTTTTACTTTAGGAGAGGGGGAGTGAGTCTGCAATGATTTACTCACCTCTAAAGCCGACATGTCGCTTTTCTTCATTAAAGGCACAGGCTTCATGATGTTTCTGCATGTTGTAGAATTCTTCATAAAGCAGTATTGATGATCAAATTTGGTGTCTTAAAGAGATAAACTTATAAATTGGAACATTTATGTCTCTGTGTCTCTAAAGCTCCTCTTGATGGTGGCCATTTAAGATGGTGGCCAAGACACGCCCCCCCTCAACCCACTAATTCTAAACCTTTAATTGAGATCCTGGAAAGCATTGCTGTTAATGGTTAAAAGGATTGGGCATTACATAAAATGTGTGGGAATATGTTAAAATGTTTATTTCAATGTGGAGGTCATCACATTTTGCTTTGCTTATCCCCAGGATTTATGGAACCTAATAATGCACTAGGTAAACAATGACTGCGGTCCTTTTTGAGTATAATAACATATCAAGTTAATTAGTAGCAGTTGGGACTATAATAAATTGTACAGATATTAACCGTCTGTGGTGCTAAAGTTGCTGATTATATTTCAATAGAATAAACAGTTTATTCAAAGTGGCTGAATGCTCTACTAATAGTCAATGATTCTGACATATTTTTGATATAGTACAGTAGAAAGGAACAAGTTGTACTTTTCAATAAGTTCCCCCCCTTTTGTGCTGACAGTAAATACTGCTTAGAAATTGAGCAACTAATTGTGTCACAATTGTGATACATTTTCATGTTATAGATCCCTTGTACATGGTTAGTGCCCTAAAATCGACTATAGCTTGTATTAGACTGCGAGATCCTGATAGTTCCAAAATACAGGCCCGTGTTTTAGAGCTATTGTTAGGTAACCAGGTTTTTCAGGGGGTGGAGTCAGAACTCTTTAAAATGTTTTTTGTATCCCAAATGGGCAGAGTTCAATATGTTAGGAGGTAAGGGTAGTTTTTAGTACCCGACTATCTTAAACTTAATCAGTTTCAACTGGTTAACACAACACTAAAAATAGTAGAAAGCTTTACAGGGTATGATTGCCTTGAAAATGTCCTAGAAACCGGAGTCAAAACTTACAATGCCATATTGATACTACAAGAGGATAGAATATATGCAGTTATATAAGGAATTAAAGCTTAGAGATAACTTGCAAATGCTACAAAGTGAAAGATCTAAACCCTTTTGCCGTAAAAGACGGGACATTAAAATAGTCTCTTCTATCTGGAAAGCAAAGAAAAATGAGGAAGGTGTCAGGGTCACTAGAGGAAAGAACTATGGCAGTCACAAAGGAGATCAGACATGCTTTATGCATTTTGCAAGGTTACTAAAAAGGTGCTATACCTAGATACCTTCAGGGGAAAATGTGACAAATCTGTTATATGTTTAAAATCTTAATGTAGACTTTAATCATTTGGCTAACGGTTGACTCAACATCCAATACAGAGAGATTAAATGAACAATTAAGAACAACGGAAGAATGAAATAAATCAATTAGCAAGATCTCACAAGGTAACACTTGCCATGCAATGCAGAGAAATAACAGTGCAATTAAAAGCAACAGGGATGTCCTAGCAATATAAACTGTAAATCAGTGCTTGAACTAATTTACCACTGACACTGAGTAAGCCAAAACAGTCGCACAATTGGCACACCAGTGTGTTAACACTGATGCACAGATTATTAGGATGCCCAAACAAAGAAGCCATTGAGCAACTTTCAAAGCAGAATTTAACAGAGATGATAATGCTAGTATATAACATGCTTTATGAATATATCTGTTAGATCAAAGCAAAAGCCTTATATACTTATGTTCTATAAGTAGGTAATATACTCTAAAATATATGAATGAATAAGGACTAAGACTGTCAATAGGAACTAATATTTAATCTCTTTCCTTGATACACAACGATACAATGCTAAATCTCATTAAGTAAAAAGATGTGATGCAGGGGAAGCTTCAGATGTTTAGTAGTTAAGAGCAACAAATAACAGATATAATGAAATCCAAACAAAATGGAAAATATACGAGTAATGAGTCAGTACATTCCCTGAGAGGATATGCGCCTGCTGACATAGAAGAGGGACCCAACAAAGGGAAGCTTGAAAGTAATCATAACAAGAACTAAAATTTTAAGTAAAGGAATGGAGCAAAAGCAAAACTCACTGGAAAAATATTAGCAAAAAAATAACTCAATTGACTAAATATTTTACTATAAACTGTTCTATACTGTTAAAATGTTGGGAATACTTCAATCATAATCTTGGAAGAAAAAGCCAGCAAGTGAAATGAAACAGGAACAAAAGAGATAAAATCGCTTCTCCTACATAAGAGCTGCTATATGTAAGCAAAACTATTTTAAGGCATCTAGGATAGGGAAGATTAGGTGATATGGGGTGCTAACAGAAGTTTGAAAAAACTGTTATAGCAGCTTTGGGGAAGACAATGCATGTGAAGCACCTGGATGTCCAATTGGCCTCTCCTCTAAACACATTAAAAAGCATGGAACATGGAATGGTCACGAGGAATTTGGGATCTTCACAGACAGTATCATCTGTATAAACTGTGCAATAGAGCATCTATGCTCTCAAACAAGCTGGATAATCAAGGAATGGACAGATGTATGAATTAAGTGCTACAAAGTAAAGCTTTACGTAGGAAACAGAGCAGTCTAATACTCAAGTTGACAAATGACCATTGTTTTATGTTAATGACATAATACTACTTCATCAGAACAGTCCAAACGATTCATGTATCTAGAAGTGGTTATATCTTTCAATATAAACCTAAAACTATCAGCTAGTCATGTTGAAAACAACCAGCTGTTATACATTCTTTAACTGAATCAGAGTATGCAACATCAGCACAATATTGCTAAGAAGAAATTTGATTATAACCAATAAATAGAAATTGGACTGGGCATTAATCTTATTCATGTTCTTGGGGAAAATCAAAGATGCATAAAGGTGGAACAGATTGAGAAGGTCAATCCCAGTGCTATGCACATTGAAATAAAGTATCACCTACTAAAGGGCTTGCACGAGCAGGGATCAATTCATATCCAGAATTGCCCATCAGAGAATATGACTGCATATGTAGAATGTGGTGAAACACCAAAAGTAAATAAAATATAACATTTATTGAATTTTAATAAAAACTATCCAAGAAGTGGATATATAAATATAACAATGAGTACTCTGTAGATCAAAGAAAATATCAATAAAAAAGAAAAAGTGACCAAACAAGCAAAATAATAAATATGATAAAATAAAATGATTTGTCCTGTGATAAGTAAAAACCTGGATATCAGAATAAATATTCTCTATGAAACCCTAAATGATATGATCCTAAGGACTGGGTACCAGCATGTTCCTCCCAAAATCTAAAGCAGGAGAAACATGCATAAAGGATATTTGTACGGGAATACTCGAAAATGTACAGAAGTGGCAACCAGAACTAAATACTAAAGTGCGAATAGTATGTGGCAGTATAATTGGCTGCCTCCTAGTTTTTCCATATACCACAAATATAAGCCAGCAGTCCATAGACAGTCCTATAGTATATGGTATCATATACTAACAATTGTAACAAAGTATCAAATACTAAAAAGACTAAATAAGTAAATGGCTTGTCTTACAGAAGTCCTGAGCTGGGGAGTCACTGTACAGCTAAAGTAAGAAAAATAATTAGTGAAAAAAGCCCGCCAGCTCAAAGGAACACAGAGGTCCGCACTCTGTGCGCTTTTCACCCGGTGAACATAACTGGGATCATCAGGAGGGATCCAAATTATTTTAATTTAATGTATTTTACTTTAAAATGTTTAAAATTTACAACATATTATACAAAAAATAAATTAGGGGTAGGCGAGGAAAGAGGAACTTGGAAGTGGGAAAGGGTATCCATCCATTGTAATAACAAACACAATAAGGTATATGACAAAAATTGTAAATAATACAATTAAAAATAAATCAATTTTTTATAAACTTTAATTTCTTCTTCCCATTTATCCCAATCATATTTTAGTTTTACGAAAGAATGCATATTGCTCCAACGTGATAGTTTGTGTGCTTTGTTATCTAGTATCAAGTTCAGAACTTCTCTAAGTGATGTTATGTTTGCAGACTTCCAATACCTTTTTAATCATGAAGTAGCAGCAATCAGGATGTGGCCTATTATTATTCTATCTTTTAATGGATTCAGGGAACTTTTTAATTATGCAAACTCTGAAGTTAAACAATAGTTCGATCCACTTTAGCAATTAAATTGTGAATCATTCTCCAGTATCTTGCTATTTTGGGACAATAGCACCATATATGAGCCATAGTTCCCAAACCCCCACAGTCCCTGCAACACCGGTCACAATACATATTATTCATATTGTGCAATCTAGACGGAGCCAGGTACCATCGATACAAAATTTTGTAGTGGTTTTCGAAATGATCAGTGCAGCATGAAATCCCTTTAATGCCTTAAACAAAATGAACCAACAAGCTTGTATTGTGTACCCAGCTCCGTCTCTCAGGATACCATATAGTTACATAGTTACATAGCTGAAAAGAGACTTGCGTCCATCAAGTTCAGCCTTCCTCGCATATGTTTTTGCTGTTGGTCCAAAAGAAGGCAAAAAACCTAGTCTGAAGCGCTTCCAATTTTGCAACAAATTAGGAAAAAATTCCTTATTGACCCCAAAATAGCAGTCAGATGTCTCCTTCGATCAAGCAGCTATTATCTCACTAATTAGAAATGATATCCCTGTATGTTATGTTTTTGCAAGTATTTATCCAATTGCAGTTTAAACATCTGTATGGACTCTAAAAAAACCACCTCTACTCGCAGAGAATTCCATATCCTTAATGCTTTTACTGTAAAAAAAAAATGTCTTTGCCTTAGATTAAATCTCCTTTCTTCCAGCCTAAATTTGTGACCTTGTGTCCTATGTATAGTCCTGTTTATGATTAGATTTCCAGATAATGGTTTGTACTGGTCCCGAATATATTTGTATGATGTTATCATATCCGCTCTTAGGCACCATTTTTCCAAACTAAAGAGATTTAAATTTTTTAACCTTTCTTCGTAACTAATATGCTCCA